GAGGCGATGGATGTAATTGGACAAAGAGGAGAAACAGTAAGCTAAATGATTGTCAAAGTGCTCAGTGTCCTTCATTCTTGTTGGTTTCAATACTTAACACCTTTGAAAACCAGACTATTTATTTATGTGCCTATATGTGAATTTAGGAGTTCAACTTTAGGAATGAAAAAGGGGAAGTGTTGACCATAGTACTCTCAAGTGTGGTAGGCATTCTACAGACACAAGGTAGGTCTGTGCCCCAAACTGGGTATTTTATAGCTCCATATTTTCAAGACTGAGTCCAGTAATAGTTATATGGTATTACAGCCCTTGCCAGCTCTAAGGGCATGTCTGCACTACAGCCGCTACAGTGACACAGCTGCAGCTGTGCCACTGTAGTGATATAGTATAGACGCGTCCTACATTGACAGAAGGGGATTTTCCATTGATGTAGTTAATCCATCTCTCCAAGAGGCGTGGCAGCTAGAAGAATTCTTCTGTCAACCTAGTCGCATCTACACCAGGGGCAGCCTAACTACAGAGCTTGAGGCTAGAAATTTTTACAGCCCTGAGCAACTTAGCTAGGTTGATCTCATTTTTAAGTGTAGGCCAGTCCTCAGATAATAAACTACAAAACAGCAATAGAGGTATAGTGACTAGCAGAGTTTATTCCTCCAACATCACTGTGCAGAATGTCTGAGTTGCTTTACAAACAAAAAAAAAATAGCTTCCTATATTTTGGGCCTTATTAGTACAGTCATCTAAACGGTCAATATTTACCCACAAGTACTAACCCACACAGTGGTATCTGAGACAGCAGTTTGTCCTTCTGATAGAGAATAGCTGTGCTTTCACAAATACCGCTGTGATAACTGTTAATATAGGTCAACTTTTCATGGCAACCTGTGTATTTTCCCTTTCTTCGGGAGAAGTAACCTCTGCGAATTAGATATTTCAGAGCCCATTATGATAGGTGGTATTTTTGTTTGAATTATAGTGATTCTTTCTATGAGAAGATATATAAAGAATCAGTATATATATATATAAAATACATTATACAGCTGCATAGTACAGTACACAGTAGTCGGCAACAGCAGCTGAATATAAAATGCCTAGTTATTACAGTTCTTGGTTTCATAAAAAAAAGTTATTTTTTATC